ATGCAAGTGCCTCCTTGTTATAATCTCTGTGCTGTACAATATGGTCAGATATAGCACAGAGCTAGAGTACCTAAAGGACTACTGAATATAACTTCTGGCTGGCTCCCGAAATGCTTAGTACTCTGAGTAGGCAATAACAGCGAATAATGATTATATGACAATCAAGATATAACAGTACCTTGGCAAAGCAATGAATACCTGGGTGCAATAAACTCCGCAATATTGAGTAATCTCTAAGGTACTGCAGAAAATACTCCAGGCATCATCACCATCAGCATTTGCCAATCCAGCGATCGATGAAGGATCTCCAAGAATTGACTATACATAAATAGGCTGCCACTTTTATTCATCTTCATCCAGCGAATTTCTTCGGTGCATCCTTACATCGATCTGGAAAACCTGGTTCTTGGTTCAACTTCAGCGTTAAAATCGCCTATGAGGATCTTGCAATGACTCTTTCCATCTTTATGCAGTTCCTCTATTTCTTCGTAAAAATTTTAAATCCCTTCATTAGGATGGCCTGATGTCGACGCATTGACGTATTTCGATCACTTTGAGTTTGTATTTCTTTGAAACTTTCAGGACCTTCCAAAGTACAGAAGACTTGTATCACACTGTTCCCAAACCCTCGGTGGAAAATGAACACTATTCTCCCTGTACTTCCATTTGCCGATCCTTTGTGGTAGAGAAAGCGTCCAGTTTATAGCTCTAACAGGCACTTCTCCTTTCGTCTAACTTCGCTGACTCCTACAATCTCACCTAATTTTCCTACGTTATACTGACAACGCTTGAAACACTGCTTCACCTGAAGTGATCTGCAGTTGTACTTTGCCAGCGTTAGTAAATCGAGCAGCTTCACTGAAGTAATGATTATCATCGTCGGCATTTTAGGTGATTAAACGACTAATACCTTGATAAAGTAGTTAAGTGAACACGTTGAGATATCAGCAATCACGTTCCAACACCGTTCGAGCAACTGAATAAGCAGTTCAGTGAGTGAAATGCAGGGGACAACGCTGAGAAATATTCAGATAAAAATATATGCACATTAGCATTTGCAATACTATTACTAAATCCTGGTCTTTATTTAGACGTCATATGCAATTATTTGTTGTTCTGTCATATCCTAACTATTTTATGAGTAGTGCATAAGTACACCAGGAATAAGGAAATTAACGATGATTGGCAATCGCGGTTAGTGATGCTTGATCGTCTTTTACAATCAGAGCATTATCATTACAATGTATCAAAACATCAGAATCAATATATCATAATCATCCAATCATGATTATCACTATATCACAGGTAATAATTCCCTCATCCTTCTCTTCATCATCGTCATTACAAATACCGGCTACACTGTGTACTCTTCTAGAAAAGAAATCAAACTAGGAAAAAAGCGCATAAAAATTCTTAGATACGCTCTACGCGCTGATCATCCATTCTGTAGAACGTGCAGGTGACGAGAAATGTCAACAAGAACTTTTAGCTTCTTGCAGAAATACGAATAAACTTATATTCCTGATCTTTGAACTGGCTTCATGTCTTGAAATTCTATGCTTGAACGAGTAGTAAGCGCAGGATCGACTTAAGTACAG